TTGTAAAATCTGCATTTACCTTTTAGTGTTAACTAACTACTTTTCTCCAGGGAAAAGAAAAGGGAAAAGCATGTAGTAGAGGAAACTGTTACTTCAAAAACTTTCAAAATTGGTAATACCTATGAAAATTCAAGAAGTACAAAAGAAGTAAAAGTCTGTTGATGATAAAATTACGAATGATCTGGAGACATATTCGTGCAAAGAACTTGCAGCAAAGAGCAAAGTTATGTTCTTTAAGATTATTTAGTGTATTTAATTATTTAAAGTTTATGAAACTAGATGGCCTTAAAGGCCTCCTTCATATGTATTCATAAAAAATTTGATTTTTCAACTCTACTATTCCATAAAAAAAAAAAACCATTATTTTGCAATCTAAGCCCCACCCTCGAAAAAAAACCCCCTCCCCCGCAACATAAATAAATAAATGAAGATCATGCTGGCTCGACCTTTTTTAGTGTTGTTGGCAGTAGATGAATGTTCAATCTTTCGTAGTGAATGGCTAATAATTCTATCTTCTAACACAATTATAAAGTTAAATTTTGACATTCAAGCTATAGGTATTGAGAGTTTAGGTCGAGAAACTAGGTTAGTGCTTTTCACTTGATTTTTTGTGTGGAGAGATTAAATGTTCGGATTTTTATTTCTTTTCACTGATAGACGGATATACAAATAAGGCTTTTGTATTTTGTTTACTCTATTATTAGTCAAATTTCATGCAACCAAAGTGCATAGGAGGTTGAGTTTGTCATTATTGAAGTGTTTTTTTTAATATAAGTTTAAGTTTAATTTTGAAATATATCCGTTTTGATTGCAAGTATACAGGTCAAATTAGTAGTTTAGGACAAATATTGGGTCGATCCCACGAGAAAGATTGGACAATTACTGTGCAAGATAATAACAAGTGAAACCTCCTTAAATTATGGTATTCCTAACTACTCATGCAAATGCTATTTTTGGATCATTGATTACTACTATCTTAGCTAACTATGGCGTAATTTCCTTATACATGTGAAACCTACTCTCGTAGTGAATTAACTATACTTATAACTAATCCATACCTATTCTCGTGGTTATGAAATTAACTACAAGTTAATTACTTTCTATGAAATTACATGAAATGAATCACTAAACCCACAAAGGTGTATCTTTATTCTCGTGAGTGTACTCCCTAAGTTTAGCACTTCTTGAACTAGTGTTAAATCTCAATTTTCATTGAAGACACAACATATTTAGATAATCACAATTAATGGTACCAATTTAATCATGATTTATAGAACTAAAGTGCTAAATAACTTACTCAAAATACTAAATTCAAATAGCCAAATAATAAACACTAACAATTATAGAAAGTTCAACCAAACCCAAGACATAAACTTTAGAAACACATAATAGCATATAAATCCATAACTTGTATATTAACTAAACTTAGAATCAAGTACAAAAGATAAAGAGTTAGGAAGGAAATGTAACCCTTGTCACATGAGTCACTACAAGAAAATTGGTCATCAGTGACAACTTTTCTCTGTAACGAAAAAAGTTGTCACAAAAGTGGATCCTTTATTGACGACTTTCTAACTCGTCACAAACCTCTAATGGGAGCCAACTCATTTGTGACGACTTTTCTAAGTCGTCACTAGTAAATTCCCGCCAAGTTTTAGCAAGAGCGCGGGAGTGTTTAGAACACACAATAGTGACGACATTAAGAACATCATCACTATTGTTTGGCCTATTTACGGACGACTTTTTGTTGTCGTCACTGATCACTAAAAAAAATATTTATTAGTGACAACATTTTTTAGTGATGACAATAAGTCGTCACAAAATGAGCTTCTTTAGTCGCGACACCTAAAGTTGTCATAATTGCATCAAAGCAACTAAATGTTTAGTGACGACCCGTTATTTTCGTCACAAACTACACTGCAAGAAATATGGTCATTAGTGACAACATTTTTTAGTGACGACAAAAGTCGTCACAAAACGTGGTTGTTTAGTGACGACAAGGAAAGTTGTCATAATTGCTCAAAGCAACTAAGTCTTCAGTGATGACCTTGAAAAAGTTGTCACTAAAATGATCTATATAGTGACAACTTCTAATATCGTCACTGTCACTCTACCGATTTGGATTTAGTGACAAGAATTAATCGTCACTGTTTAAAGTACTTATTTCTAAGTCACTTTCTGTAATTCTACTGTGCCACCCTAACTTTTGCGATTTAGCCCCAAATGTTGTAAAAAATTCCATTAATTCGATTATGATACCTTAACTTTTACAATTTAGCCCCATATGTAGTGCACCGATTTCTTTAATTCTATTATTACTCCCTAACTTTTGTAATTTAGCCCCATATGTAATTCACCAATTTTATTAATTCTATTATGGCACTCTAACTTTTGCAATTTAACCCCCATATGTAATACACCAATTTTATTATTTCTATTATGGCACCCTAGCTTTTACAATTTAGCCCCTATTTTTTTATTAGGAAATTGCGAATGGTATCTTGATAAACTATGCATAAATATTTTATAATTTTCTCAAACTTAAGTAATAATTTGTTATAAACTCTAAAGATATATCTTTCATTACAATAGTTATAAGGCAGGCAGGTCTTTTTATCAATGGAATAAGAAATTTATGCCAAATTTATCCTTTGTACTACATGCCAAGTAGTATTAGCAAAGGAATAACAAAGTACTACAAAGTAATTAACAAAATAGCCTTTAGGGAGTGTAGTTTATGGGCAAATGAGCATTATCTATTTAAAGTACCAACTTTTTATGGGCATTTTACTCTCAAACATATAATTTATGATAAATTTATAAATGTTTGTAAGTAAAATTCAAAAAGTATTACACTGATTTCTTACAAAACGAAAACTGGCAGGTTATCTTTTCAACATAAATTAATTTTTTTTTAAAAAAAGAAATGGCCCATAAAGTACCAACTCTTTGTGGGTTTCCTCCATTACATGAATAAATATTCTGCTCTTTATGGGCATTTCACTCTGAATCATTTAATTTACGTTAAATACATAAATGTTTGTAAGTAAAATTCAAAAAGTGTTGCACTAATATTTTTATGAAAGGGAAACTGGTAGGTTTTGTATTTAACATAAATTAAATATGTGAAAGCAAAAAAAAAAAATTACCCATAAATCTATGTCTTGCAAATCTATACTAGTAAAATAGTTTCAAACAAAATTAAATATTAAAATAAACTGTAATTTATACACATTAAAATATCTGTAATTTATACACATTTTGCAACTACTACTTTGTGTTTTCTCTGTAATGAATTTTTTAACTATTGAGAACTTAAGTTTTGTTTTGCAAATCTATACTAGTACAATAGTTTTAAACAAAATTAAACATTAAAATAAATGTTTGAAAAAGAACAAAAGTACATTTATCACTTGCAGTAATGTAACAAAATTTTCTCAACCATTATCAATATTTTCACAAAAGTATTAAAAACTAGCAATTGACAATATTAAAAACTAGCAATTTAATTAGTGACGACTTTTCTTGTCATTATAATCTTGAATAAATTAGTGATAACATTATGTCATCACTAAATTTTCTTTGATTTTGACTTAACAATAATGTCTTATTAATAGCATTTGATTATTTTTAATGAAAGTCTATTATAACCATAGAATTTGACTTTCGTTATTTTCAATTAATGATGTACTTTAGTGCTGCAATTATAAAAAATTACAGGGCTAAAATATTTGCAAATTATAAAAGTATATTTTCACTTATATGTAATTAACAAATTTTGCCACCTATATTGATGAAAATTTGTGTTTTTGTACTAAAAAATAAAGAATAATACTATAGCAATAAAATCTATGCTTCAAACCAAATTAAAAATAAAAAAAGCATGATGATTGGTCTCAAATGTTGGGAAAATGATTATTTTTATTGAAACTATGTTATAACCATATAATTTGAGTTTAATTATTTTCAATTACATGATGTTCTTTAGTGCTGCAATTATAAGAAATTAGTATAAAATATTAGCAAATTATAAAAGTACATTTTCAATTATATGAAATTAACAAATTTTGCCACCTATGTTGATGAAAATTTTTATTTTTTGCTAAAAAATAAAGAATAATACTATAGCATTAAAATCTATGGTTCAAACCATATTACAAATCCAGAAAAAAACATGATTTTTGGTATCAAATGGAGGGAAAATGAGTGAAGTCAAAATTTTGGTCAAATCATAGTGAAAGTGCAGCGCAACAAAAACAATATCCAAAGCAAAGCAAAGACCAAAGCAGCGGAACACATTCTGAAAAGAAAAGCAACGGAACACTTGGTCTGAGTTAAAGCAACGGAACACTTGAGCAACACAAACTTTCACCGAGCTGAAACAAACAAGCTTCTGCATTGAGCACAAAACAGAGCTTCCGCACGGCACCTGATACCTTCACCCACACAACAAATCCGTTCTCTGGCTTCTCACTAGCATCACCATGGCTGTCCAGCATTAAAGGGCAAGGTTTTCATTGGCAAGGTTCATTTTTCTCTCTCCTATACATTTTCCCCAATTTTTTCAAATCCCTAATATTCTACAATATTTTTTGCAAATTTCTGCCCAAAATCTTTTAGCTGTCGAGGAAGAAAAGGGGGACGTCGGCAGGGGAACGAAGGAAAAGACTAAAGTTTCATTTGGGGGCTGGTGATTGAGGAAGTGAAACCAGAAACAGAGAAAGGTCTTGGCCTAGAGGGGACACAAAGAAAATACAGAGCAACAACCGCTCATCGGCCATCACAGCGCGCAATCTCCATAGCTGCCGTCACTCTGCTCTCATCCAATTTCCGCCACCTCCAAGTTCCGCCACGGCACCTCCATTTCGTGCGCCGCCTAGCTGCCTGACGCATCTCCCCTTCCCGCACGGCCTTTCTCTCTCACTGTCGCTCCTCGATTTCATGTTGCCACCCACCACTGGCGCCCAGCTCCAGCACGGCTACCATGGCAGCTACAACCACCTGATCATTCGCACCTTCCTTCGACCATCACCATCGCCTGCAGACTTCGCCAAGCAAACGCTGTAAGCCGTCTGCCTTCTTTGAATTTTAGTTTTCCATTTTTAGTATGAACATTGAAAAGTCTCAAAGCATGTTTGTCGTGCGTTTGTTCAGTGCCAACTTCATGTTGATTGCTAATGATTTTAGATTGTATGCTATTGTATGTTGTTTGGACTGAAATCTCTTGTGTTTTGACAAATTTTGGGGGGCTAATTACAGTCCCAATTGAGCAAAAATTGCTGGATCCTTCTATGCCCATGTACTGTTTGTTAAAATGCCTGAGTGAAGGTCTAAATAGAAGATTGATGCCTAATCTGCTTGGGGAAGACGATCGTTTGCTTAAATTTGCAATTCCGGTCATTCCATTTTCTTTTTTGTAATTTAGCCCCAGAGTTCCTGAACTTCGTAATTCGACCCTAAAACATCCATAATTCATTCAGTTAAGTCCCTATTTAGTTGCATTTGAACCCCTATAAGAATATCACTTTCAAACTCCATTTACGTTTTCTGTTGTTTTCTATGGCTTTTTTGTTTAGTTTTATGAAGTTGGATGTTTCTTTTCCTGTATCATTTGTTTTGCAATTTGTTTCTTGGCAAAATTGAAGTGGGTTTTTCTTAGAATCATTAGTAAAGGTTGGTTTGATTTGGTTTGGTTGTTTTTTTTAAAATATAGCAAGCTTTTGCTGTTTTCTTGCCCATAAGGTCTGTTGGAGTTCAAGGTGATCAAAGAACACATTCTCATGTTGTTGCATTGAGAGCTGTCACAAGTCAAGATGGGATGACTGCTGACTGGTACAATTTTGAACACAATTTCCTTGATGTTGTTGCAAGAAAGATATGCAATAGTGTACGTGGTGTAAATCGAGTTGTTCAAGATATTACTTCCAAGCCTCCATCAACAATTGAACGGGAATAATATCATGTGATATGCAGCGTGGTTGATAAAGTTTGGAAAAATCTTGCGGCTTTCTGCTGATCTATTAAAAGGTACTAATTCTTGTAGTCAAAGATGCTGATAAGTGATTCATGAATTTTTTTTTATGAAGAAATATTTATTATTTTAAAAAAAAAAAAAAAAGATGGTGAAAACTTCAATTTTGCAGGAAGATTGTTGCGCGCTCCAATGGTGACTTTTTTTTCGTAAGTATCAGTTCCAATGTTGATGTTAATTTTTAGCTTTTTAAATCAAATTTGGCTATTTTACTTTTCCGTGTTTGTCTTCATACAAAGATCTCTATTTCATATTCAATTACTGATTGAAGGATTTGCAGTACTCTCGATTTTCAAGTAAAAGTTGCCGGTGAAGCTCAAGTGGCTGCTTCCTTCTACACTACCACTCATACCTCACTCTTTTTTCTTTTCTTTTTTTTAGGTGCGGTTTCTTGTCTTTTTCTATTTAAACAAAATTTTGGCCTTTCTCTTTTCTTCGTTCAGTTTTATCGTTTTACTTAAATAATTTTGGGTTTCTTCATTGTCTAGGTCTATGCAGCTGCTACTGTCTTTCTTGTACCATTTTTGGAGATCAAGGGAAATTTCCTGAGGTGAACTTCAATTTCATTATTTATGGGTTATTTTCTTGCGTTGCTTAGGTAATTTCTTTTAACCACATAATACATCAAAATTCATAAAAACACAATAAGTTTACAGAAATTTAAGGAAAGTTTCATGGTACCAATAATTTTTTACCTTGTTTTGCGTCCAATCTATAGATATGCTAAATCACCCTTGCCGGAAGTCATAAAAGATTTCCTTTTTTGTGTTAAAATATTTGGCTATGGGTTCAACATCAATTTTAGTGCTTTTGCACAATTATACTACAGGTTGTAAGCATTTTTTTAACTCTATTTTAATGTTGAGTTAATATCGAAGACAGTGTAGTGGAGATAGGTTTTGCATTCAGTTGGTAATATGGAACAGGCTTGTCCTTAAAGTAATTGTCTAGGTACTATCACAACCACCAACCAATGAAAAACACTGGTAGTTAAGTACCATCTTACGTGTATTGAGAACTAATTTTAGGATTCCCAGTTTTGGAGGATGAAGTATGAGAAGACTTGTATGCAAAACAAAGGTCTCGTTCTTTCTTTATCTTACATCTATTCATATTCAAATATTTATAACCCATTGATATGCACAAAACACGCTCATAAAAATATAGCTGGTTAGATGCTCTGAATTTCATTAGCCATAATGTTGACCGTCTGCCTGATGCATTGGATTGTAAATATTGTGAAGTGAAAAAATTCTACTTAGAGACAGCGAACTTTTACTATTCTGATGGCAAGGTGGTGCTCAATGAAAATAAGCTGCCTGATTATTCGATTCAGTGACTGTCTGCCTGATTATTGTTTTTGCCTGTTAATGTGCTAGATTATCACTGTATAGGCAGAAACTCTGGTAAAACAAGATTACACATCTGATATTATGCCTGTTGATGTTACAGCAAAAAAAGCTCTCATAATTTCTTGATATTATGTCTGTTGATAGTCAAACAACTATAGCTCATTGATCAGCATTGGCCTAATTTTCAATGATAAAAGAACACCTTTTTTTTACTAGCCATTGATGTCTATTTTCATTGTTTTTGTGCTATTATTTTTTCTATTTCATTTTCATAAATGAAATTTTTTTTATCTGTAAATTGGTTGGAAATGATTCAAATTAGTTCTCTCCAATTAAGCCAAAAAGTATATCAATTCGAAATGAGCCAAAAAACAAAGAGTTATTATCTGCCACGCCCTCCTCACGTAGCAAGTGACTAAAGATTTTTAGAATAACTATTATAGGATCTTCTTTAAACTAACTCAGTTCGATAATTTGATAGGTACTATTTGATACTTTCAAAGCCATTTTTTAGCAAGGAAGGATTGGGAAGGAAGAAAAAAGGGAGATGGGAAAAAAAACCATTAACCACTAGGCTATCTATCAGATTGTTCTTTGCAGTTCATATCCTTCTTCTGTTCCTGCACTGTTTGTTAGTTTGATACTTGATGTTCATTTCATTTTCTTGAAATTAAATGAGTTCTTATTTTTTCCACTTGTTCTTGGGATGGTCACCACAATGTTTGAGCAAGCTCTTCGAACTCTTCAATCCCACGGTTGCTCGAGTAATTGTGGATTTCATCATGAGTGTGGAATTGCTTCATCCTGCAGTGTTTTAGTTTTTTTCTCTCAAAAACTATACATAAGAGTTTTACTTTTTCCAATAATATTTTTCGGTGCAAAAGGCTGTCTATCTACAATTTCCATCACCAAAGAATAAGCTGCAAAATTGGGAATAGTCATTGGAATAGATCTTGGAACTACCTATTCATGTGCTCATATTTACAAAAATGGTCATGTTGAAATCACAGCAAATGACTAAGGAATCGTATTAAGCCATCATGGATTGCATTTGCTGGTAGCGAAAGACTGATTCGATGTTAATGTTGAAAGAACTATCTTTGATGTCAAGAGACTTATTGGATGAAAGTAAGGCACACTCGTGTATTTATCATTTTTGCTGGAACATTTTGGTGTGTATACATATGCTCACTGAAGTCTTAACTGTTATATAACAGGATTGAGACTAATGAAGTTTAGAGGGATATGAAGCTCGTTCCTTGTAAGATTGTGAACAAGGATGGAAAACCTTATATCTAGGTGAAAATTAAGGATAGTAAGGTTAAAGTCTTCAGTCTTGAGGAAATTAGTGTAATGGTTTTAACTAAGATGAAAGAAGCAGCTGAAGCTTTCCTTGCAAAGAAAATTAAGGATGTTGTGGTAACTGTTCCCGGTATAGTTCAATTTCTAGAGTTACTCGTTGAATCATATTTTACTTCAATGATGCCCAGAGGCAGGCAACAAAAAATGCAGGTATTATTGCTGGGCTGAATGTTGCTAGGACTATCAATGAACCCAGAGCAGCAGCAGTTGCCTGTCTAACTACGAATTAAAAAAGTTTATCTAACTACACTAATTAACTGTTGATTTTGCAAAATATTGAACAATGATTAAAGCAACCAATTTCTTGTATAAGTTTTATTAGTTACATTTCTTATAAAAAGCTTTCATATGGTTCTAATTGCTCTGTTTTATTGTAGGCAAAGGCTTTCATCAAAGGATTATAGAATATTTCATCAAGTTGATTAACAAGAAACATGGAAAGAACATCAGCAACCACAATAGACCACTTGGAAAACTGAGGGAAGCTGAACGTGCCAAAAGAGCTTTAAGCAGCCAGCAGCAAGTTAGGACTCATGCTTGATTTGACGAGTTGAACAATGACCTCTTTAGCAAAAACATGGGACTTGTCAAGAAGGCTATGGGGGATGCTGGTTTGGAGAACCACCAGATGCATGAAATTGTTCCTGTTAGTGGGGCTACCAGGATCCCAAAAGTCCAATAACTTCTCAAGGACTACTTTGATGGAAAGGAACCCAACAAGAGTGTAAAACCAGATGAAGCAGTGGCTTATGGGGGTGGTGTTCAAGGAGGTATTCTAAGCCGGAAAGGTGGTGATGAAAGCAAAGGTACTTTTAAAAATTTTTAATGGACATGTAAAACTTGATATTTTGCAAACTTAAGATGCAACTTGATTGTCTCAAGAAAGTTGAAACTGTTGGTATTGAAACTGTTGCTGTGGTAATGACCAAGTGATTGGTACTTGTAAATTTATTTTGCTGCTTCATAATTTATGAATTCATTCCTTGTGAACCCAGAACAAAAAAAAATTTGCATGTGACCAAGTTGTAGCAATATCTTGCTACTTCCATTAACTGTTACTGCAGTAATGACCAAGTGATTGGTACTTGTGAATTTATTTCATTGTCATCTGAGTTGTTGTTACATGTTAATGGAATGTATTTGAACGTCAAATGAGCCTCTTTCTTTTGAATCATCTATACTAAATTACTGCTGTATATGTAAATATCATGCTTTCCTTTTTCTTGTGAATCATCATTACTGCATTGGCTGTATCCTTTGTATTAGTACATGACTACTCTTTGAACTAATATATTTTTGACTAATACTCCTTTTCACTCCCAGCCCAAGTTCACGATACACACCACATCACTCTTTTCATCATCTAAAATATTAAAAATATTACAATAACAAATACAACCTTACTAACAGGTCTAAAGTTCCCACGCCTTGCGTGGGAAGCAATCACCTAGTTTTAATATATAAACAACCAAAAGCATAAACATTAAACAATAATTACTGTGGGAGTCCAATTTAATTGTTCAATAAGTTGAGCTATTTAAAGAAGAAGAAAGATAATTAAAAAAAACTGTTTTAGAGAGCTCTTTAGTTGAGCTTATGCAGTGTTGTATTTGTATAGATTGGACTGTGATTTCTAACTTCTTGCTGGTGTTGTAATATGTGGGCCCAAATTATATGAGGTTCTTAATGAATTGTAATTTTTGTCTTAATAATCTAAGTCTCATTACTTGTTCTTTATTATTGTACTCCTCCCCTTACCTACTTCTTTTACTCTTTTATGACAGATAAATGCTATTCATACTAGCTTTTGGAAGATATCTATGGTTATGGTTGAAGAATGTTGAAGACAAAATTGCCTTTTGCTCATGAGTGGTTCATTTAGATGTTCTTCAATTTCTTAAACTGTGATTGCTTTTGTAAATGTACCTTATGTACAAGTGATATTTTGGACAAATGTTATTTTTGTAGGCATTAGTTGGGCAATGTACACTTGAATTTGGCATTTGAGAATGCTATATTATTACCATGTAATCTAATGCAAATACTTTTGGTTATCAATCGTTCATGTTTATTTGTATGGTTTGTTTAAAATCAATGATTTAGCAATGATTACAGGCCAAATTATGACTATTAAGCTATTATGAAATTATCTAATGACAAAAAAAAGTTGTCACAAAATAGAAAATAAAAACTACTTGTCACAACAGAGACTGTCACTAAATCTAAGTTACATTTGTGATGACAATTGTTGTCAGTAAAATAGTTATATACAATGGCTTTCGGTGCTTTTTAGTGACGACTTTAAGTAGAGCATTTTTGACAAAAGGTCAATTCGTCAATAAAACACTTCCAGATTGTCGTCACTAATAACAACTATTTAGTGACGACCAAATAATTGTCACTAAATAGTTGTCATTAGTGACGACAATCTGGAAGTGTTTTATTGACGAATTGATCTTTTGTCAAAAATGCTCTACTTAAAGTCGTCACTAATGAGAACTATTTAGTGACGACATTTTAGGTCGTCACTGTTTACTTTTACCGACGGGGATTTAGTGACGACTTTGTGACGATCAAAAAGTCGTCAATAAAAGGTATTTGTGACGATATTTGTATGTTCTGTGATGACTTTGTGTTGTCACTGATGAACAATTTTCTTGTAGTGAGTTCATATCCTCCATCTTCATCTCCTTCTTCATCTTTGCCTAGCTAATAAACAAGAAAGGATGAACTACTAGTTAAACTATCCTATACTATACTAATCTACTACTAAGAAAATGTAAGAACTACATTTTTGTGGTATTTCTTGCACTCTCCAAACTCTCTAGAATCTTGCAAGTCCATGACTATATATAGATGAATTTAGTCAATAAATGAGGCTTCAAACATCACTTTTACAGCTGCAAAGTGGTTGTTATATGTCCATTAATAGTTGTGAATTATTGGAGGAGGAAACAAGTTGTGCAAGTTGAGAGCAGCCATTTCTGATCAGAATCCGGCAAAAATCTGGCCATAATCCGGCCGGATTGCTCCCCTGCATATCCTTGCAATTTCTGTTCAGTCTTCAAGGCATTCGAATTTTGCATCAATTTCAACTAAACCTTTCTTAATGATAAAAGCTGAATTAACTCTTGACCAAAACATGAAACTTGTAGCCCTTTGAGTTAGCTTTCCAATGCATCAAGAATCATCTCATTTGGACTTGTGTAGGCTGCAAAATGATGGAAATACCCTTCACTGCTTAATGCCTTGTTTCAGTTTAGACTAATAGAAATTGGCTACTGTAATTCAGCTTTTTGACCTGGAAAACCTTCAAACTGGATTTTGATGTCTTCATAAGATTTGTAGCTCTATCTCTTATCTTCAAAAATGGTTCAAGAATCATCTCAATCCGATCATTTTAGCTCAAGTTATAGCCGAAATATGAAGATGTATCAAAGCCGTCAACTTGCATTTCATCCAAATGAAATATATTTCTAACTCCTATACAAATTGTGGGCAAAATGCAAGTAAAAGTGACAAAAATCTCATTTAATCACTTAAGAGCATTTTACACCAATTATAGCCAAAATGTTCTATTTTCTTCCTATAGTATTGCAAAAGTGACTAAAAATAACATAAAATATCATTCAAAAATAGGTCAGATTAGTCACTTATCAATTATCTGTCTCCATAAATGTTTGGAGTAGACTGGTTAATGAATAATACCCGCAAACAAATAAAATTTAGAGCAATTTGACAATGGTTACTGATTAATAGATAGGACAACAAATGTTATGATTTTCAAAATTACAAGCACAAGGTAAAAGTTTAAGATTATAAGAAATTGTGAGAGTATTCACTTTCCTAATAGGAGACTATTATATTGATAACAATTAGTATCTAAGATAGGGAAGTCTATTTTTGTATTTTTTTTATAACTTAATGTTTTCTACACTGATAGTGTATAGATTTGAATTAATGATAACTATACAAAATTTGAATTTGTACTCTAACTTTAGCATATGTGTCATGAATCCAACAGTAATAATATATACACTGTCAATGTATATAAAATTTACTCTTTTTTTTTATATGGGATGTGTTCTGTTTAAACCAGTTGGTGAGGTGATCCATTAATAAAACAGACTTTTCGTTTAAAAAAAAAAAAGAAAAAGGTAATAGTTCGTATCAGATTTTAAAGAGTGATTATATTAGAACGCCATCAATGATTTATAGATGTCTATTACTCTAAACATTATATTTCTGTTAATCTTTGATATTTTTCTAATAAAACCAACCGAAAATGTCCTTGATTTAGTTGTCATTTTGAAATAGTACTAGCATTACTCACTTTTTCAGTGGGAAATTACTGAAAGACTTCATATTGCATGAGAATATTTTGACACCACATCAGAAGCCCCCGTAGAAAAACAAATTATTACCCATTCACACAATTGAAACATCGAACTAGCAAGCAGTACATAGACTGCATATCACAAAACACTAACCAAGCTATTATTTTGTACTTCACACTACAAACCACATACATTCACAATGAGCTTGTTTAAACATTCATGATATAGCTGGAAGCTAGCTGTATTAATTCTGAGGCTCAGCATCCACGGCCTGACTAGGATATGAGCAGCACCTACAACACCCACCATAATAACTTCGCCCGCAACAACCAAAGCGGCAATATCCACCACCACCATATCCACCACGGCCACCACCATAGCCTCCGCCATAGCCTCCACCATAGCCACCACCAGGGACGGAGCCAGAAATTTATTTTTGGGGGGGCTGAAGTGTATTAAAAAATTTTTTTTGTGACGAAATAAATATATTTAATAAGTAAAATTTAGAATCAATAATTATAAAAATAATAAAAACGTATAATTATACATACCCAAAAATTTGTTATTGATTAACACTTGAAGTATTGGTAGTTGTTGCACTCGAATAACGAAGAGGAGGCAATTGCATTCTGCGAGTCTTCATCCGTTGAAAACGCTGCAATATTTGCTCATTTTCAATTGTTGCAAAAATATCCTTCTCGATGTATACAACCAGACAGTCATTCATCCACTCGTCTCCCATTTTGTTACGCAAATCAGTCTTGACAATATTCATTGCAGAAAATACTCTTTCAACAGAAGCAGTCGCAACTGGTAGAACTAATGCCAACTGGATCAGACGATAAACCAATGGAAAAACTGTATTTTTACCAGTTTTAACCATTTGTTGAGCAAGACTTCCCAAATCTCCAACTTCTGAAAATTGAGGATCGCGTTGCACATTATAAATATAATTTCGAAGTTGAGACTCAAGATATAAATAATCGTTACTTGAGAAGTCTTCAGGATATAAATCAGCAAGACGGAGTAGTTTCTGCACATTGAATTGAGAGAAAGAACTTTTTGGATCAAGACATGCTATGCAACTAAGCAATTACGTGCTAACTTCCGAGAAACGATTATTCATCTCTTGTATAATTAAATCAACAACCTGACATCACAACAATAATAAAATTAATAACTAAGAAAATCTGCTAACAAGTAACAAATGTAATGAAATAATAATTTCAAAAATAATACCTCACAAAAAATTTTCACGCGATAATGATGAAAATTAGTGATGGTTTGACCTCTGCGACTGCGCCTGGCATTGCCACGGATTGCTATACTGTCTTCCATATCAATCACGGGAATCATATTCAACTCACAAAAATTGTTGACTTCATCTAAAATTATTTGCCATCCCTCTTCCCTAAAGTCTTGCAATTGAGATTTCATAGTATCAATCAAACTCATGGCTTGGACAATATTTTGATCCCTTTGTTGCAAAACAAGTGACAAGTCATTTGTGATTCCCAATAAATACTTCATCAGGTGCAATGCAAAAACAAACTCATAATCATTCATTCTATCAATCAAACCCCTGGCCATACCTCTATTGTCAGAAGTGGTGGCATCATCTTGTATATTTCCCAATATTCCAATCACCGAAGCCCACAAAGAGGATAGACGAAGTAATGTTAGATAGTGTGATCCCCAACGAGTATCCCCTGGTCTTGCTAAACTAGTTTCTTGATTTTTGCCTTTTCCACTAATAATATCTCCACTGTCTAAAAGTGTAGCAATCTTATCATGTTCTATTTGTCTTAATTGATCTCTCCTTATACATGATGCTCCAGTTAAATTGACAATCATAGAGACATAGACAAAGAATTCACTGACAATGATATTTCCCTTAGCAACGGCAACAATAACTAACTGGAGTTGGTGAGCAAAACAGTGAATATACATCGCATAGGGATTTTCTTGTAATATAAGGGCCTTCAAACCATTGAACTCACCTCGCATATTTGAAGCTCCATCATATCCTTGACCTCTCAATTTGGATAATGATAATCCGTGTTGCGCGAATAAAGAATCAATTGCATCTTTCAAACAAAGAGATGTGGTGTCAGACACATGTACAATTGCAAGGAAACGTTCAATCACACGCCCTTCTTTGTTCACATATCTCAAAACAACTCCCATTTGCTCTTTCACTGAACTGTCTCGAGACTCATCAACTATTAGGGAAAAATAATTGTCTCCAATATCATTGATTATAACACTTGTGATCTCTGAGGCACAAGCATGTGCCAGATCTTTTTGAATCATTGGAGAAGTTAGTTGATTATTTGCAGGAGCATTTTGATTTACAACCTCAAAAATCTCAGTATTTCGCTGGCTATACCACTCAAACAATTCAAGAAAATTGCCTCTATTTGAAGAACTAGTTGACTCATCATTTCCACGAAAAGCCAATCCTTGCTTCAAAAGAAAGCGGGTCACATCCAGAGCAGCAGTTAAACGGGTGCGATATGCAATATCTATTTCGCGCCCACAAGATCGTAGCACATTTGACACACTATGCCTTTGATCTTGAAAACTTTCAAACTGTATTCTAGCATCATTATGGCAACTATTCACAGCTCCAATATGTTCATTAAATCTTTCCATTGCCTCTTTCCAATTATTGAATCCCGTGTTTGTAAAGGCATCCTTTGCATATCGACCTCCCTTATTTTGTGTTTTGAAAAGAAAGCACCAAAAGCAAAACGCCGCATCTTTCGATATGCTATACTCTAACCATACAAACTTTTGATACCAACTATCTTGGAAACTTCTATGTTGTTTACCAAATGATGTTTTTGGATACATATGGCCAATCGGTTGGCAAGGTCCCCTAGTCAAATACTCTCTTCGGACATGGTCTCGAAGAGAAATATCAAATTTCTCAACTGATTTTCGTAATCCCGGATCACTAACAATATCATTTAAATTCAATTCCACACAAGATTGATTTTGAACTGGTTCACTAATATTAGGCTCATTTGAAGATTCACCGCTACGGACTCGTTTAGGTTTAAAGAATCTCTCCATTTTCTGTCACAATTAAATAATTGTGGTTAAATTCAATAAAATTATGCAATTCAATAATCAATTAATTTAAAATTCATATAAATAATTCTTTAATTTAATAATAAATTCATATTACTAATATTTCTCAATTTATAAAATTCATTATATAAAATTATCAAAAAGTTAAAATAAGGTACAACTAAATACCCATATAATCTCTAATTCAATCTCATAAAATTTTGAATTTATATTTACATTCAAAATTTCTAATTCACATAATTAATTCTTAAAATTTCAAATATAAAACTAATAAAATTTTAAAAACTAAATACAACCTAAAATCTATACAATTTCTAAACTAATTTCTAATTTAAATTTAATATCATTAAATTTTTTAATGTAATCTTTCAAATTCTTAAATTACATTAACATAAACTAAATAAAAATTAATCTTAATCAAATTAATATCAAGATACTCAAAATTCAAAAATAATTTAAACATATAATTAACAAAAATATAAAGATGAATATTGTAATTTAAACCAAAAAACTAACCTAAAAGATTTATGTGAATGGAATGGTGGAGAGTTGGAGTCTTGGAGCCTTGAATTGAAGGCTTGAAGCAGGATGGTAGAATCTCAACTGAAGCTTCTTGGAGTTCTTGGAGCCTGGCGTCTTCTTCTTGGAGTTGGAGTCTTGTTTGCCCTTTGGCACTGGCGGCGTGCTTTTGCATCAGATGAAGTCTTAGGGCTTCATCTGATGTATTTTTTTTTTCCCTCATTATACAAAACGACGTCGTTCCACTAAAAGTGAAACGACGTCGTTTTGTATTTAGAGGGCAAAAAAAAAATTCAAAATGAAATGGGTCATCTTCTTCCTCAGCAGTCAGCACGGCAGCGGCTTTCCAGCTCTTCTTCACTTCCTCTGCAGCATTCATGGAGCCATGGAGGATGGTAGATCTGGATCACCGTGGGGGGGCTGGGCTGGCCGCCGGAATCCCCTATATATAGGGGGTTTTCCGGCGGCTTGGGGGGGGCTTAAGCCCCCACCAGCCCCCCCTTAAATCCGTGGCTGGCCACCACCATAGCCACCTCCACCATACCAGTCTTCTACGCCATTCGTCTCGACAGTCTTGGCTGCAATGGTAAAAGATAAGGTACGCACGTTTGTTAGTGTGATTAGTTATGACTTCGTCGCGTAAAATCATTTGGGTTCACTTCCACGCAATTTGAAATACTAAAATTTTTAACTAATTTGTGTACGTGATTTTATCTTCAAGTCTTCAATCCCTTACATGCAGCCACGGATTTAAGGGGGGGCTGGTGGGGGCTTAAGCCCCCCCCAAGCCGCCGGAAAACCCCCTATATATAGGGGATTCCGGCGGCCAGCCCAGCCCCCCCACGGTGATCCAGATCTACCATCCTCCATGGCTCCATGAATGCTGCAGAGGAAGTGAAGAAGAGCTGGAAAGCCGCTGCCGTGCTGACTGCTGAGGAAGAAGATGACCCATTTCATTTTGAATTTTTTTTTTTGCCCTCTAAATACAAAACGACGTCGTTTCACTTTTAGTGGAACGACGTCGTTTTGTATAATGAGGGGAAAAAAAATACATCAGATGAAGCCCTAAGGCTTCATCTGATGCAAAAGCACGCCGCTAGTGCCAAAGGGCAAACAAGACTCCAACTCCAAGAAGAAGACGCCAGGCTCCAAGAACTCCAAGAAGCTTCAGTTGAGATTCTACCATCCTGCTTCAAGCCTTCAATTCAAGGCTCCAAGACTCCAACTCTCCACCATTCCATTCACATAAATCTTTTAGGTTAGTTTTTTGGTTTAAATTACAATATTCATCTTTATATTTTTGTTAATTATATGTTTAAATTATTTTTGAATTTTGAGTATCTTGATATTAATTTGATTAAGATTAATTTTTATTTAGTTTATGTTAATGTAATTTAAGAATTTGAAAGATTACATTAAAAAATTTAATGATATTAAATTTAAATTAGAAATTAGTTTAGAAATTGTATAGATTTTAGGTTGTATTTAGTTTTTAAAATTTTGTTAGTTTTATATTTGAAATTTTAAGAATTAATTATGTGAATTAGAAATTTTGAATGTAAATATAAATTCAAAATTTTATGAGATTGAATTAGAGATTATATGGGTATTTAGTTGTACCTTATTTTAACTTTTTGATAATTTTATATAATGAATTTTATAAATTGAGAAATACAAGTAATATGAATTTATTATTAAATTAAAGAATTATTTATATGAATTTTAAATTAATTGATTATTGAATTGCATAATTTTATTGAATTTAATCACAATTATTTAATTGTGACAGAAAATGGAGAGATTCTTTAAACCTAAACGAGTCCGTAGTGGTGAATCTTCAAATGAGCCTAATATTAGTGAACCAGTTCAAAATCAATCTTGTGTGGAATTGAATTTAAATGATATTGTTTGTGATCCGGGATTACGAAAATCAGTTGAGAAATTTGATATTTCTCTTCGAAACCATGTCCGAAGAGAGTATTTGACTAGGGGACCTTGCCAACCGATTGGCCATATGTATCCAAAAACATCATTTGGTAAACAACATAGAAGTTTCCAAGATAGTTGGTATCAAAAGTTTGTATGGTTAGAGTATAGCATATCGAAAGATGCGGCGTTTTGCTTTTGGTGCTTTCTTTTCAAAACACAAAATAAGGGAGGTCGATATGCAGAGGATGCCTTTACAAAAACGGGATTCAATAATTGGAAAAAGGCAATGGAAAGATTTAATGAACATATTGGAGCTGTGAATAGTTGCCATAATGATGCTAGAATACAGTTTGAAAGTTTTCAAGATCAAATGCATAGTGTGTCAAATGTGCTACGATCTTGTGGGCGCGAAATAGATATTGCATATCGCACCCGTTTAACTGCTGCTCTGGATGTGACCCGCTTTCTTTTGAAGCAAGGATTGGCTTTTCGTGGAAATGATGAGTCAACTAGTTCTTCAAATAGAGGCAATTTTCTTGAATTGTTTGAGTGGTATAGCCAGCGAAATACTGAGATTTTTGAGGTTGTAAATCAAAATGCTCCTGCAAATAATCAACTAACTTCTCCAATGATTCAAAAAGATCTGGCACATGCTTGTGCCTCAGAGATCACAAGTGTTATAATCAATGATATTGGAGACAATTATTTTTCCCTAATAGTTGATGAGTCTCGAGACAGTTCAGTGAAAGAGCAAATGGGAGTTGTTTTGAGATATGTGAACAAAGAAGGGCGTGTGATTGAACGTTTCCTTGCAATTGTACATGTGTCTGACACCACATCTCTTTGTTTGAAAGATGCAATTGATTCTTTATTCGCGCAACACAGATTATCATTATCCAAATTGAGAGGTCAAGGATATGATGGAGCTTCAAATATGCGAGGTGAGTTCAATGGTTTGAAGGCCCTTATATTACAAGAAAATCCCTATGCGATGTATATTCACTGTTTTGCTCACCAACTCCAGTTAGTTATTGTTGCTGTTGCTAAGGGAAATATCATTGTCAGTGAATTCTTTGTCTATGTCTCTATGATTGTCAATTTAACTGGAGCATCATGTAAAAGGAGAGATCAATTAAGACAAATAGAACATGATAAGATTGTTACACTTTTAGACAGTGGAGATATTATTAGTGGAAAAGGCAAAAATCAAGAAACTAGTTTAGCAAGACCAGGGGATACTCGTTGGGGATCACACTATCTAACATTACTTCGTCTATCCTCTATGTGGGCTTCGGTGATTGGAATATTGGGAAATATACAAGATGATGCCACCACTTCTGACAATAGAGGTATGGCCAGGGGTTTGATTGATAGAATGAATGATTATGAGTTTGTTTTTGCATTGCACCTGATGAAGTATTTATTGGGAATCACAAATGACTTGTCACTTGTTTTGCAACAAAGGGATCAAAATATTGTCCAAGCCATGAGTTTGATTGATACTATGAAATCTCAATTGCAAGACTTTAGGGAAGAGGGATGTCAAATAATTTTAGATGAAGTCAACAATTTTTGTGAGTTGAATATGATTCCCGTGATTGATATGGAAGACAGTATAGCAATCCGTGGCAATGCCAGGCGCAGTCGCAGAGGTCAAACCATCACTAATTTTCATCATTATCGCGTGGAAATTTTTTGTGAGGTATTATTTTTGAAATTATTATTTCATTACATTTGTTACTTGTTAGCAGATTTTCTTAGTTATTAATTTTATTATTGTTGTGATGCCAGGTTGTTGATTTAATTATACAAGAGATGAATAATCGTTTCTCGGAAGTTAGCACGGAATTGCTTAGTTGCATAACATGTCTTGATCCAAAAAGTTCTTTCTCTCAATTCAATGTGCAGAAACTACTCCGTCTTGCTGATTTATATCCTGAAGACTTCTCAAGTAACGATTATTTATATCTTGAGTCTCAACTTTGAAATTATATTTATAATGTGCAACGCGATCCTCAATTTTCAGAAGTTGGAGATTTGGGAAGTCTTGCTCAACAAATGGTTAAAACTGGTAAAAATACAGTTTTTCCATTGGTTTATCGTCTGATCCA